AATAAAAGTGCTTTAAACATAAATACTAAGATGCCCCTTTTAACCTCCAGAAAAGAATGGAATGTTTTGTGTAAAAATCTGGCAGGTAAGTATAGAAGTGTCTCAAGTCAAAAAATTACATTTAGTCTCATGGCAATCATTGAATCAGGTTAGGACACCCTGAAAGGCAATTCTGCAGCATATGCTTATGTACCTCCAAAGGGACAAAACTCACTGTTGATGGCAGCCCCAAAATTTGTTGTCACCCTCTTTCTAATTCTATCTCACGAGTCCAAACAGCATTTTTAGTCTTTCTGCTCATAAAAACTCTTCAAAAATACAGTGGCAACTCCTTTGGGCTGCTGCTTCCCTTTAGCTTCACCAGATTAAAGCCCTCACTATTTTATGATGCTTGTTTTGGGGAGCTAGCAGATAGAGAGAGGCAAGTTGGGGGAATCTTTGGGAGTGACAGGATATCTGGAAGGGTGATCTCAACAGCCCAGGGATGACCGTCAACCTGCAGGCATAAGACCCCGAGGCTGATTCTAAACTCCAGGGTCATCAAACCCAAGACAGTTTTTACTGATCTTTGCATGCTTACTTCCCAGTGCATAGCCCGGAAAGACCCAGCTGTGGGGAGAGCATGACCAGGTTCACGAGTGGACCAGCGACATAGGAGCAGTCCTGGGATTGGTCCATTCATAACCCAGAAATGCAGATAGGCCAAGTGCCCCACAACTGATAAAAACCCCTAGACACAGTTCATTCGGTCACAACTCCCTCAGTCCCTCACACTGCTGCTTCAGGCGCTTTTCATTCCTTTCCAGATAAACTGGTCCATGAGTCCATTCTCCGGTTCTCAAGCTCGAGAGCCCACGGACACATCTGAGTAGTTGCCACCTTCTGGCACGCCTCGTGGGGCCTCTCTACAGCAAAAACAGCAAACAGACTAGGCTTTTGCTCTTACTTTCTCCTTTCAGTTTCCTTCGGGAAGGGGTCAGGTCTGCTTTGCAACCCGATGCAGGCAGACAGCCCTCTCTTGTGAGTCTTTCCTTTCTCTTCCTTTAGAACCCCAGGTCTAAGAAGGCCAGGAGCAGCAAGCACCAGTGGCCTTAGGATCCCTGACTCATTGAGGTTGATCTTTTGGCCCAGAGGGAACACGCCACTACAGTGCCGCCTGAGGAAGAAAGAGTCTGGGGTCTGGCCACTGATTCTCTGTCTCTCCCAGCAATGTCAGCCCTTCCTTTTTCCATGTTGCTTGGGGAGCCCTCCTTGTCAAAGGCCAGAGAGAGAGACTATCCTGAGTATTGAGGAAAGTATCACAGAATTGTCTCTAGTGCCCCAAGAATGACCTCAATCAGAGCTACTCAAAAATCCCTTTAGGCGCAGTCTCTTTCAGAAGCAAATAAGAGCTCCCTACAGTGCTACAGCACCGCCCGCCCTCGTGGGAAGCTGGGCTCAGGGGACTTTGTCACCAGGGCACATGTGCCCTTTCCCCTCTCTGACCTGAGGTAAATTAAGACAGATCTGGGATACGTATGTATA